AAAGGCGGCTAATGAGGTTGCACTTAAGCCTTGTCTTACGCTCCATTCCTGGGAAGGCTTAATAAAGGCAACAGCCAGGAGTTGCACTTAAGCCCTGTCTTACGCTCCATTCCTGCTAAGGCTTGTAAAGACGGTCCAATAAGATTGGTTAGGCCCGCCGCTCAACCATTCACACTAAATGTAAGCTAACGACTAAAGTGTATTATCTCTCTTAACATACTAGAAATGTATTTAATGGTAAAGCGGGATATTTCCTGGAATTCCTGACTGCTACACGTCGTGAGTGGAGTAGCTCCTTTGAGTTAAATGTTTTGTAACTGTGTTTTACGTCTAGTATTAAATGATGTGTATTAACCGTTGCACCCTTGTGCAGTAAGAAGGTGGCTTGGTCTGAGGAATCACGTTTTCTTTCACATCATGTACAGCTTAGGGTTGGGGTTAGAAATGGCTTGAAAAGGCTTGAAAAGACAGAGCGGCCAGGAGTTGCACTTAAGCCCTGTCTTACACGCTCCATTCCTGGTAAGGCTTGTAAAGATGGTCCAATAGAATGGTTAGCCCCGCCACTCAACCATTCACACTAAATGTAAGCTAACGACTAAAGTGTATTATCTCTCTTAACATACTAGAATTGTATTTAATGGTAAAACGGGATATTTCCTGGAATTCCTGAGCTGCTACCGCTGGTGAGTGGAGTAGCTCCTTTGAGTTAAATGTTTTTGTAACTGTGTTTTTTTGTACGTAAGTATTAACTGAGGTGTATTAACCGTTGCACCCTGGTGAGCAGTAAGAAGGTGGCTTGGTCTGAGGAATCACGTTTTCTTTCACATCATGTACAGCTTAGGGTTGGGGTTAGAAATGGCTTGAAAAGGCTTGAAAAGACGCTTTGCCGAGGGTTGCACTTAAGCCTTGTCTTCCGCTCCATTCCTGGTAAGGCTTGTAATACGACGCTTGGCCATGGAGTTGCACTTAAGCCCTGTCTTACGCTCTATTCCTGCTAAGGCTTGTAAAGACGGTCCAATAGAATGGTTAGGCCGCCCGCTCAACCATTCACACTAAATGTAAGCTAACGACTAAAGTGTATTATCTCTCTTAACATACTAGAAATGTATTTAATGGTAAAACGGGATATTTCCTGGAATTCCTGACTGCTAGCGCTGGTGAGTGGAGTAGCTCCTTTGAGTTAAATGTTTTGTAACTGTGTTTTACGTCTAGTATTAAATGATGTGTATTAACCGTTGCACCCTTGAGCAGTAAGAAGGTGGCTTGGTCTGAGGAATCAGGTTTCCTTTCACATCATGTACAGCTTAGGGTTGGGGTTAGAAATGGCTTGAAAAGGCTTGAAAAAGACGCTAGCCAAGGAAGTTGCACTTAAGCCTTGTCTTGCACGCTCCATTCCTGCTAAGGCTTGTAAAGACGGTCCAATAGTATGGTTAGCGCTGCGCCATCAACCATTCACACTAAATGTAAGCTAACGACTAAAGTGTATTATCTCTCTTAACATACTAGAAATGTATTTAATGGTAAAACGGGATATTTCCTGGAATTCCTGACTGCTACCGCTGGTGAGTGGAGTAGCTCATTTGAGTTAAATGTTTTGTAACTGTGTTTTACGTCAAGTATTAACTGATGTGTATTAACCGTTGCACCCTTGAGCAGTAAGAAGGTGGCTTGGTCTGAGGAATCACGTTTTCTTTCACATCATGTACAGCTTAGGGTTGGGGTTAGAAATGGCTTGAAAAGGCTTGAAAAGACGCTTGGCCAAGGAGTTACACTTAAGCCTTGTCTTACGCTCCATTCCTGGTAAGGCTTGTAAAGATGCTTGGCCAAGGAGTTGCACTTAAGCCTTGTCTTATGCTCCATTCCTGGGAAGGCTTGTAAAGACGCTTGGCCAAGGAGTTGCACTTAAGCCCTGTCTTACGCTCCATTCCTGCTAAGGCTTGTAAAGACGGTCCAATAGAATGGTTAGGCCCGCCGCTCAACCATTCACACTAAATGTAAGCTAACGACTAAACTGTATTATCTCTCTTAACATACTAGAAATGTATTTAATGGTAAAACGGGATATTTCCTGGAATTCCTGACTGCTACCGCTGGTGAGTGGAGTAGCTCCTTTGAGTTAAATGTTTTGTAACTGTGTTTTACGTCAAGTAATAAATGATGTGTATTAACCGTTGCAGGTGTTAGCAAACATACTCCCCGTCGGGGAATCGAACCCCGGTCTTCCGCGTGACAGGCGGAGATACTGTCCACTATACTAACGAGGAAATCCTACTTATGCTCGGAAAGACGGTTGGCACTTTGGATAGCATCAAAACATAAACGATAAAACCATAAATGATCCAAGATATTGCGCTTAAGCCTTGTCCTGTGCCCCATACCCGTGATGGCCAACAGAATATGGCACTGGACTTGAACTGCACTGGGGCTTTACCTGTGCAAGTTGAAGCCTGCTATGAACCTGAGTCTTAATGCAGAGAATCTTTATGAAGATGAGCAACAAAGCACCTTGGCATTCATCAAACAAGCTCGTGCCAAACACATCTTCCATCCTGGGAAATTGCATTGGCACGTAAGGAAGTCAACGAATCCTGCTTTGAGACAATGTCCACTGTAAAAAGCGCTACACAAATAAAATTGATTTGAACTGAATCGAATGTGTACATGTAAAGTTGTAAATGGTCTAGTTACTTAATTGAAGTAAATGTATTGAAGAGGGGCAGAAACATGAGAATATAAAGATGCACAAACACGTTTATTGGCTCCAGAAAAAATAGTCCAGTGTTTCCTTAAATCCCTTTGCCGCTTTGCTTGTGAAGAGCAAAATTCGAATAGAAAATCGATCTCGTTTGCTAGCTCACTTATCAAAGATAACTATAAAATACTTTATATTATAAAATACTATTAGTAACCCATAATTAACTAAATGGTCTCGCGCCCCCTTTTTCCCCCCCCCTTTTTTTTTTTTTTTCCCCCCCCCCCCCCCCCAAAAAAAAAAATTTTTTTTTTTTTTTTCTCCCCCAAACAAAAAAACAAAACAAAGTTTTTTTTTTTTTTCTGCCCCCCACACTAATGGAACAGTCTTCCAATTAGAGTTCGGGACTCAGGCACAGTCTCAGTGTCTAGGCTTTAATCGTATTTGTTTAATCAAGCCTACCCTGACTAGACTTTCTCTTATGCTAGGCACAGTCCTAGTTTTTTTTCTCTCCCTCTCTCCTTCTGTCGAGCCACACACGATTTTATGGAGATACTAGAGATCCTGATCCTCTCTGTTCTCTGGACCTACCTGATCCATTTTGGATGGCCTACCTCTGGATGGAGCTCTCATCTACTCCAATTCCAGATTGCTGGGACTACAGCTGCTTCTAAGGCCAAAGAGACTCCATATGAATCCATAATCAGCTTTTTCACACTATCTGATGTTACCCAGATGAGGATAGGTTCCCTTCTGATTCTGGTTCCTCTCAAGGTTTGTTCCTCTTAACATCTTAGGGAGTTTTTCCTTGCCACCGTCACCACTTAGTGGCTTGCTCAGTTGGGACACATTCGCACCGTATATATCGATATACCGAATGGTTTTATAGATATACATGAATTAAGCTTTACTTCACTCCTTCGGCTCAGTTGGAGCGGAGGACTGTAGGTACTTAAACTAGTCATCCTCAGGTCGCTGGTTCGAATCCGGCTTCGAAGGAAGGATTTCTCTGTGTGATATGGTTCCTTTTTAAATGTTAATTTGGCCAGCGGTGGATAAAACACCATTCCCTGACTGGGAATGGAAGCCAGGCCCGCAGCGGTGAGAGCACAGAATCCTTACCACTAGACAACCAGGGACGAACACCAAGAAAATGGTGGCCTCTACTGCTAGCATGCTGGCCAGTTTCTTCCATCAAAAGCTCATAGAAAGGGCACATGAGCATGCGCAAAGGACAATGGAGCAGTAAGAAGGTGGCTTGGTCTGAGGAATCACGTTTTCTTTCACATCATGTACAGCTTAGGGTTGGGGTTAGAAATGGCTTGAAAAGGCTTGAAAAGGCAGCTTGTGCTTTACTTAAGCCCTGTCTTACGCTCCATTCCTGCTAAGGCTTGTAAAGACGGTCCAATAGAATGGTTGAGCCCGCCCGCTCAACCATTCACACTAAATGTAAGCTAACGACTAAAGTGTATTATCTCTCTTAACATACTAGAAATGTATTTAATGGTAAAACGGGATATTTCCTGGAATTCCTGACTGCTAGCCGCTGGTGAGTGGAGTAGCTCCTTTGAGTTAAATGTTTTGTAACTGTGTTTTACGTCTAGTATTAAATGATGTGTATTAACCGTTGCACCCTTGAGCAGTAAGAAGGTGGCTTGGTCTGAGGAATCACGTTTTCTTTCACATCATGTACAGCTTAGGGTTGGGGTTAGAAATGGCTTGAAAAGGGCTTGAAAAAGGCTGGCAACGGGAGTTGCACTTAAGCCCTGTCTTACACTCCATTCCTGGTAAGGCTTGTAAAGATGGTCCAATAGAATGGTTAGGCCCCGCCACTCAACCATTCACACTAAATGTAAGCTAACGACTAAAGTGTATTATCTCTCTTAACATACTAGAATTGTATTTAATGGTAAAACGGGATATTTCCTGGAATTCCTGACTGCTACCGCTGGTGAGTGGAGTAGCTCCTTTGAGTTAAATGTTTTGTAACTGTGTTTTACGTCAAGTATTAACTGATGTGTATTAACCGTTGCACCCTTGAGCAGTAAGAAGGTGGTTTGGTCTGAGGAATCACGTTTTCTTTCACAATGTACAGCTTAGGGTTGGGGTTAGAAGATGGCTTGAAAAGGCTTGAAAAGGCAACACGCCCAGGAGTTGCACTTAAGCCTTGTCTTACGCTCCATTCCGGTAGGTACTTAAACTAGTCATTCTCAGGTTGCTGGTTCGTATCCAGTTCGAAGGACGGATTTCTGTGTGTGATATGGTTTCTTTTTAAATGTTAATTTGGCTAGCGGTGGATAAAACAACATTCCCTGGCGGGAATCGAACCGGACGCGGGCGGTGAGAGCGCGAATCCTTACCACTAAACAACCAGGGACGACAACAGAAAATGGTGGCCTCTACACTAGCTATGCTGGCCGGTTTCTTCCATCAAAAGCTCATAGAAAGGGCACATGAGCATCAGCACAGGACAATGGAGCAGTAAGAAGGTGGCTTGGTCTTATGAATCACGTTTTCTTTCACATCATGTACAGCATAGGGTTGGGGTTAGAAATGGCTTGAAAAGGCTTGAAAAGACGCTTGGCCAAGGAGTTGCACTTAAGCCTTGTCTTACGCTCCATTCCTGGTAAGGCTTGTAAAGACGGTCCAATAGAATGGTTAGGCCCGCCGCTCAACCATTCACACTAAATGTAAGCTAACGACTAAAGTGTATTATCTCTCTTAACATACTAGAAATGTATTTAATGGTAAAACGGGATATTTCCTGGAATTCCTGACAGCTACTGCTGGTGAGTGGAGTAGCTCCTTTGAGTTAAATGTTTTGTAACTGTGTTTTACGTCAAGTATTAACTGAGGTGTATAAACCATTGCACCCTTGAGCAGTAAGAAGGTGGCTTGGTCTGAGGAATCACGTTTTCTTTCACATCATGTACAGCTTAGGGTTGGGGGTTGGTAATGGCTTGAAAAGGCTTGAAAAGGCAACAGCCAAGGAGTTGCACTTAAGCCTTGTCTTACGCTCCATTCCTGGTAAGGCTTGTAAAGACAGCTTAGCCAAAGGGTTGCACTTAAGCCCTGTCTTACGCTCCATTCCTGCTAAGGCTTGTAAAGGACGGTCCAATAGAATGGTTGAGCCCCCGCTCAACCATTCACACTAAATGTAAGCTAACGACTAAAGTGTATTATCTCTCTTAACATACTAGAAATGTATTTAATGGTAAAACGGGATATTTCCTGGAATTCCTGACTGCTACCGCTGGTGAGTGGAGTAGCTCCTTTGAGTTAAATGTTTTGTAACTGTGTTTTACGTCTAGTATTAAATGATGTGTATTAACCGTTGCACCCTTGAGCAGTAAGAAGGTGGCTTGGTCTGAGGAATCACGTTTTCTTTCACATCATGTACAGCTTAGGGTTGGGGTTAGAAATGGCTTGAAAAGGCTGCGCAGCACGGAGTTGCACTTAAGCCTTGTCTTACGCTCCATTCCTGGTAAGGCTTGTAAAGACGCTTGGCACGTTGGAAATGACCAAAACATAAATGAGCCAAGGAATTGCACTTAAGCCTTGTCTCATGGTTCATTCGCGTGGTGTGCAAAAGAATAGGGACAGGTGTTAGCAAACAGACTCCCCGTCGGGGAATCGAACCCCGGTCTTCCGCGTGACAGGCGGAGATACTGTCCACTATACTAACGAGGAAATCCTACTTATGCTCGGAAAGACGGTTGGCACTTTGGATAGCATCAAAACATAAACGATAAAACCATAAATGATCCAAGAAATTGCACTTAAGCCTTGTCCTGTGCCCCATACCCGTGATGGCCAACAGAATATGGCACTGAACTTGAACTGCACTGGGGCTTTACCTGTGCAAGTTGAAGCCTGCTATGAACCTGAGTCTTAATGCAGAGAATCTTTATGAAGATGAGCAACAAAGCACCTTGGCATTCATCAAACAAGCTCGTGCCAAACACATCTTCCATCCTGGGAAATTGCATTGACGTAAAGGAAGTCAAACGAATCCTGCTTTGAGACAATGTCCACTGTAAAAAGCGCTACACAAATAAAATTGATTTGAACTGAATCGAATGTGTACATGTAAAGTTGTAAATGGTCTAGTTACTTAATTGAAGTAAATGTATTGAAGAGGGGCAGAAACATGAGAATATAAAGATGCACAAACACGTTTATTGGCTCCAGAAAAAATAGTCCAGTGTTTCCTTAAATCCCTTTGCCGCTTTGCTTGTGAAGAGCAAAATTCGAATAGAAAATCGATCTCGTTTGCTAGCTCACTTATCAAAGATAACTATAAAATACTTTATATTATAAAATACTATTAGTAACCCATAATTAACTAAATGGTCTCGCGCCGCAGTATCTAAGCGACCTTTTGGTTTTCTATGATCCGCCACGCCTACTTAGATCAAAAGATGCAGGCTATTTGTTCGTACCTCGAATAGCGAAGGCTACAACAGGAGGATGAGCTTTCTCTTCTGGAGCCCCACACTAATGGAACAGTCTTCCAATTAGAGTTCGGGACTCAGGCACAGTCTCAGTGTCTAGGCTTTAATCGTATTTGTTTAATCAAGCCTACCCTGACTAGACTTTCTCTTATGCTAGGCCAAGTCTTAGTTTTTTTTCTCTCCCTCTCTCCTTCTGTCGAGCCACACCCGATTTTATGGAGATACTAGAGATCCTGATCCTCTCTGTTCTCTGGACCTACCTGATCCATTTTGGATGGCCTACCTCTGGATGGAGCTCTCATCTACTCCAATTCCAGATTGCTGGGACTACAGCTGCTTCTAAGGCCAAAGAGACTCCATATGAATCCATAATCAGCTATTTCACACTATCTGATGTTACCCATATGAGGATAGGTTCCCTTCTGATTCTGGTTCCTCTCAAGGTTTGTTCCTCTTAACATCTTAGGGAGTTTTTATTAAATGATGTGTATTAACCGTTGCACCCTTGAGCAGTAAGAAGGTGGCTTGGTCTGAGGAATCAGGTTTCCTTTCACATCATGTACAGCTTAGGGTTGGGGTTAGAAATGGCTTGAAAAGGCTTGAAAAAGCACGCTTGGCCAAGGAGTTGTACTTTAAGCCTTGTCTTACGCTCCATTCCTGGTAAGGCTTGTGAAAGATGGTCCAATAGAATGGTTAGGCCCGCCACTCAACCATTCACACTAAATGTAAGCTAACGACTAAAGTGTATTATTCTCTCTTAACATACTAGAAATGTATTTAATGGTAAAACGGGATATTTCCTGGAATTCCTGACTGCTACCGCTGGTGAGTGGAGTAGCTCCTTTGAGTTAAATGTTTTGTAACTGTGTTTTACGTTATAGTATTAACTGATGTGTATTAACCGTTGCACCCTTGAGCAGTAAGAAGGTGGCTTGGTCTGAGGAATCACGTTTTCTTTCACATCATGTACAGCTTAGGGTTGGGGTTAGAAATGGCTTGAAAAGGCTTGAAAAGACGCTTGGCCAAGGAGTTGCACTTAAGCCTTGTCTTACGCTCCATTCCTGGTAAGGCTTGTAAAGACGCTTGGCACGTTGGAAATGACCAAAACATAAATGAGCCAAGGAATTGCACTTAAGCCTTGTCTCATGGTTCATTCGCGTGGTGTGCAAAAGAATAGGGACAGGTGTTAGCAAACATACTCCCCCGTCGGGAATCGAACCCGGTCTTCCGCGTGACAGACGGAGATACTGTCCACTATACTAACGAGGAAATCCTACTTATGCTCGGAAAGACGGTTGGCACTTTGGATAGCATCAAAACATAAACGATAAAACCATAAATGATCCAAGAAATTGCGCTTAAGCCTTGTCCTGTGCCCCATACCCGTGATGGCCAACAGAATATGGCACTGAACTTGAACTGCACTGGGGCTTTACCTGTGCAAGTTGAAGCCTGCTATGAACCTGAGTCTTAATGCAGAGAATCTTTATGAAGATGAGCAACAAAGCACCTTGGCATTCATCAAACAAGCTCGTGCCAAACACATCTTCCATCCTGGGAAATTGCATTGACGTAAAGGAAGTCAAACGAATCCTGCTTTGAGACAATGTCCACTGTAAAAGCGCTACACAAATAAAATTGATTTGAACTGAATCGAATGTGTACATGTAAAGTTGTAAATGGTCTAGTCTACTTAATTGAAGTAAATGTATTGAAGAGGGGCAGAAACATGAGAATATAAAGATGCACAAACACGTTTATTGGCTCCAGAAAAAATAGTCCAGTGTTTCCTTAAATTCGCTTTGCCGCTTTGTGCGTGAGAAAAATTAGAATAGAAAATCGATCTCGTTTGCTAGCTCACTTATCAAAGATAACTATAAAATACTTTATATTATAAAATACTATTAGTAACCCATAATTAACTAAATGGTCGCCCCCCTTCCTTCTCTTTTTTTGGCTCCCCCCCCCCCTTCTGGCGCCCCCCCACCAAACCCGCCTTTTTTTTTTTTTTTTCCCCCCCCCCCCCCGGGTTTTTTTTTTAAGGGTTTTTCACACTAATGGAACAGTCTTCCAATTAGAGTTCGGGACTCAGGCACAGTCTCAGTGTCTAGGCTTTAATCGTATTTGTTTAATCAAGCCTACCCTGACTAGACTTTCTCTTATGCTAGGCACAGTCCTAGTTTTTTTTTCTCTCCCTCTCTCCTTCTGTCGAGCCACACACGATTTTATGGAGATACTAGAGATCCTGATCCTCTATGTTCTCTGGACCTACCTGATCCATTTTGGATGGCCTACCTCTGGATGGAGCTCTCATCTACTCCAATTCCAGATTGCTGGGACTACAGCTGCTTCTAAGGCCAAAGAGACTCCATATGAATCCATAATCAGCTTTTTCACACTATCTGATGTTACCCAGATGAGGATAGGTTCCCTTCTGATTCTGGTTCCTCTCAAGGTTTGTTCCTCTTAACATCTTAGGGAGTTTTTCCTTGCCACCGTCACCACTTAGTGGCTTGCTCAGTTGGGACACATTCGCACCGTATATATCGATATACCGAATGGTTTTATAGATATACATGAATTAAGCTTTTCATCACCTTCGATAGCTCAGTTGGTAGAGCGGAGGACTGTAGGTACTTAAACTAGTCATCCTCAAGTCGCTGGTTCGAATCTGGCTCGAAGGAAGGATTTCTCTGTGTGATATGGTTCCTTTTTAAATGTTAATTTGGCCAGCGGTGGATAAAACACCATTCCCTGACTGGGAATGGAAGCCAGGCCGCAGCGGTGAGAGCACAGAATCCTTACCACTAGACAACCAGGGACGAACACCAAGAAAATGGTGGCCTCTACACTAGCTATGCTGGCCAGTTTCTTCCATCAAAAGCTCATAGAAAGGGCACATGAGCATCAGCAAAGGACAATG